GTTGCCGATTGCAGCCAATTAGAGCGGAGCTAGTTGTTGGAGTGTGTTATGAACTCTTACCAAACACTGCAGAATGAAGAGATCTGCTTCTTCATACAGTAACTGTCGCTCTGTGCACCACCCAGTGACCTTCACTAAATGAACACTCCATGTGGCACCTTCCAGCTGTGTGTCAGCAGCTGCACGCTGCTCACACAGCAGCCAAGAAACATTTGACATTTGGGGGGGTTCTGCATTCCTGTCAGTAATGGACATGGCTGGATTAACCTCCTTATTACTGGGTTGCTTCTGACCCCTAGTGTACATCACAACAGCTCTAACTAACTTTTGACGGTGAAGTGAGAGCCGAAACAAATTCAGGTGGTAGCCCCTGCTTTTCTCCCTCCACTCCTCTTCGCCCCTCCTGCCCTGTCTGTGAAACTTCGTCATATGTGGTTACGAAGGCCGGACATAGATGTAACACAAGCAAATTCTACAGAGGAATGTTTTTCCCGTAATACTGATACAGTACTAATGTTACGGCTGCTATTGCGTCACTTTTAGTGTTACGTACTTAGCACACATGATGTTATAAGGTAACCGTGAGTTGTATGTGAAACAAGAGGAATTTCATGTTACGTTTGAACAAACTCCTACTTTTCTAGTTGTGTTGATGGACTGCAGCGTTATGTCTGACATAAACTGGACCAAAACTGAGCAAAAGTTAGAATGACTTCTTTGGCTAATCCAGGAAAACATGCTGGTTTTCACTGACTGGACAACAAAGCGCTGATGCTGCAGTCAGTTGGAATGACTCCAAATTACAACCAGGTTCAATACAAAGGTACAAAACTGAAAAGCTAGCATTAGCTTGCTAACGATGTCAACATATACTTGTTAGCCAGCTACAGTGATCAGTGTCTGGCAGGAAGAAAGCCACATCTGGTCAGATGTTAGTCCTTTGGATGTTTTTAGTGCTCTCCATCTCCGACATGCCAAACCGATGTTATAAAATGTGGCCTCTTTGGTCTAACAGGTGCGCCCCCATCCTGGGTTGGACCTGCACAGGGAGCCGCCACAATTTGCCCTTGAAACGAGCTGTACTGGTTTGACCAGGGCTGAAGATAACACAGTGGGGGTGGGGGGTTAGTACAGCAGGGAGACAACACTTCAAAATGATTTTTTTGTGCAAAATTAATGCAACTTTATTTGGTAAAAATAATCATGACTGAAAACAGTCTTTATAATTGTTTTTAATGTTTTTAAGCAAAAATGTCAAAATGTCTCTGATACCAACTTTTGAAATGTGACTGTTTCCTGGTTTTCCCAGTTTTCTATGATAGTAACCTTGACAGCTGTCGACGTTTGACCGCTGTGCAGACAAAACAAAGCAATCTGAATATGTAAACTTGGGTTTCAGGGAATAATGATGGGCAATTTCTCTTTTATACATCTATTAATCATCTATTAAGAAAACAACAGTCAAATGTATTGATAATGAAACTAACTAATGGGCTAGCACTTTTCCTATGATGGAATAATACTGCCTCGCCCAAGGTTTTCTGTGAAATTATGCTTGTTTTAAGTTTATAAAACAGAACTTTACAACACAGGAGCTCAATATAAAGTGAAGCGGTTCACATCATAAAACTATATTACCTCTGCGAGACCTGAGAATAGAGGACTCGACTTTGAGTTGTGAACATTTCTAGCAAATGTGAATTAAGGCAGATTTCTGAGGCCCCTGCAGGTCTGGGGCCCCTGTGCAGCCGCCCGCTTTGTCCTGCTGGTAATCTAGCCTTGCATGAAAGATCTGCTGCTCCCAGTTTATAAGTTTGTTAGTTGTACCTGAAATGATGCTGCCAGATAAGTTTTTATTGGATTAACCTCTTCCTGTCTGTGGATTCATTGATGTCATATAGTTTTGGTAATTACCTTTTTGTTTAATGGCACATGTTGTGTTCTGTTCACTCATCTAGAAAAACTGAGTTGCCAGCCTTTTAGGACTGAGTGTGTTTCCAAAATCTGGTGGACTCACAAGAAGCAGACTAAAAATACAGCGTTCAAAACCTTTTTTTTTCTGCTTTATGGGTCAAGCACCTTCAGCTAGATTTCCCAGGATGTCCAACCATACCTTTAAAAGTGCCATTCTGAGGTCACACCCGTTCATGTTCTCCCAGGTGTGTTCGTTTTCCTTACCAGAGCTGTCTGAAGTAAATCAGATTGAAGCAGGGAGGAGACATGAAGAGAAGCACCTGACAAACTCTAAGTGTCAGGCGCTATGGTGTTTTATATGTATAAAAAAATTCCCCATTCGCCCCACCACTTTGGGGCGGTCTTTTCCTTCCTTCAAGCTTCGATGTTAGTCTAGATGTTGGGTTTTGAAGTATCCATAGGTCCCACATCCTCCGTATGTAACCCCTCTCACTGGGGTTACATGTGTAGTAGCATTCCAATAGTTCCCAGGTCCAGTAGCCCACTTCTCATCAGGTTGTCCTGGTTCCTCAGAACCTGACGCGGACATTGTTGACCCTGGCGATGTCTGAGCCGGTGTCACTCTTATTTTTCCAACTCTCATTACCCATGAGGTAGGCAAGTAGCATTAAGGGCCTTGCTTAAGGACCCAGGCACCCTGACCGGGTTTGAAC